AGTTAATACCTGTGGGAAACAGAAACCCTCACAGAAATAAGAATAATCTACCATTAGGACAAGTAATAGCACTTATTAATTTTATTATGAAAGCTATACATCCCAAATTTTAAGAACCCACACAAAGAAAAGTTTTAAAGGGTATGACACTCATTACATGCTGTTCTGTAGACAGCTACAGCACAGGGCCACACCTGAAGTATCCAAAATCTTTTTAAAATTTAATATTTCCAGTAATGGGCAGTTTATATTTTGTTGGGAAAGACTTGACCTACTCCATCACAACCATGAATCAGCCTTTCATGAAGCATCAGACTGAGCCAAAAGATACTACCTATGCTTTCTCATGATTTATGGCCAGGCACTCCTGTAAGCACAAAAAAAATGCGGCACAGTTCAAGCCAGCAGGACAAGCAAAACCATGAAAACACCAGGCAACACATTTGAGATTTTTTTTCTTTCTCTCGGAAGATGTGAGGGAAGGAGGCCTACCTGGGAAGAAAAAAGACCTACCAAACAGTATTTGTTGGTTTTATAACCAATATCAGAACAAAGTTTCTTCAGGAGCTCAGCCTAGCATTCCTGGTTATCAGATACCAACTCTGGTGGTGGGAACCGAAGTGAACTCAGGAGTCCTTGTGTGGGCTGCTGAATCTGTAGTCAATGGAGTACAGAGCAATTCCCCTCACCCAGCCCAGGAACTCTTAAGCAGAATATTCATGTAGTTTTGGGACCACACATAGATTATTTCTGTACCAACATGAATAAAAAGTTTCACTGCAAATCTCATTCTTCTCTAAAAATATTAACCTATAGATGCAGCTTTCCTTGCTGAAACATCCATTTTACCATTCTTTGTAGCATCTCTCCTAATAACTTTCCAGAGACAATTTATTTATCCACGAAGGCTGAAACTTCTTCCAAAAACTTTTTCCTCTTGCCTGAGGTACAGATCTATGCTATTTTCAGCACAAGTAAAGTAATTCTGGGACTTCTTCCCATGCAAATCCTTGACATCTAGATATAGTTGACTCCATTAAGTGGCTCCTTAGGTAACCAAGCTTTGCTCTTTCAAAACCAGGCACTTTCTTTACAGGCCTGCCTTTGCTTATTTATCTTTCATATAAACCAAACCCATTAGTGATCACACAGATCAGTAGTGTTTTCTTCAGCCAGCTCATCTGTAGCATTAAAAAATCAAGTAAAAATTGCTACAGTTCATTTTGATTAACCTGTCCACTGTCTTCCCATTCATTCCCTGGAAGTGAAATTCTTGCACAGGAATCCAGTTCTGGGTAGTCATTACTCTCTAAAATATGACAGTGATCTTTACCAATAGAAACTCAAACAATCTCTCTTCAATCCAGGGAGGGGAGATTAAAATCTATTTAGTTAGCATTTCTCAAAGCATTTCCCCCCCAAATGAATGTATTGAAGCCACAGCAACACTTTGTATTTCTGATCCCTAACAAACAATGCTAAATCCTTTCCTCAAATATAACTGTTGCTTCTCTTCTGGCAATGACAGTACAACAATGAAATTCTCCTTGTGGCTTGTTCATAGGAAAATATCAAGCCTCAGGTTACTTGTTTCCTGTTTCTTCTGAAGCATATGTTTCAAGTAAGGCTAAAAGAATATGTGTTCTTCTGTACATATACATATGATCAAACCAATGACCAAGACAACTTCCTATATCTTTTAGGATTAGAAAATAAGAAATGAAAAGGCTAGAAAATTGGAACATACTTTAACAAAGAAATTTGGAATAAACTGAATTTAATCTTTCGCCTTGTTTTTTTTTTTCTTTTCCATCTCCTTTTTTCCTTTTAAATGCTTGCATTTTTTTACTTAGAAGTCTAGTATATCTTATTCATTTCAACTGTGTTTTCATAGTCAGCTTATTGAAAAGTGGTTTATAGCATATTTTGTTCTGAAGTGGTACAAATCAGTTAAGTGTGAAAAATAGGTAGCATATTACATAACGCAATTACTAGTTGTTGATTTTTTCGCAAAATACTCAGAAAGACTCTATCTATTCATGGAGCTGTGATTCAATATAGCCATAAACCAAAGGTTCAGTTCCTCACCAGTGTTTCTGAGCATTCACACTGGCACCCAGCAGCTTGCCTTATCACTGTGACAACCCAGCAGCTAATGGTACCTCCCCTTTTCCTCCCTCCTCATCCCAGAACAGGGTCAAGGATCAGAAAGGATTCTGCTCTGACAGGTATTTCCTGGATGACCCCTGGCACTGTGAACATTTTGTTCAACTCCCTGTGGTTGCACAAATTGACCTTGAAATATCTACTGGACTTAGTCAGCACGATAACTCTGTGCCACACAGTTCCAGTCCCCTGCTGCTTTCCCACAGAACATTGAGACATCACCTGCTTTCTATATTTCATATCTGAAAACAAGAAGGCACAACCAGCATTCCCAGAAATCTCTATTTGTGATTGCCAGCCCTCTTGTGCAATGCTATAGGGCAAAATGTAGAGCAGGAATAAGAAAGTGTGTTCGAGTGCCTTGAGATAGTTAAGAGATATCTTATAATTGATCCTTTTTACAGAAACATTCCTAAATATTAAAATACATTTCCTCACAGCTGGTTCCTTCACATTATCTTGCATGGCAAATGCATTCTCTTTACTTGTGGTTTTATACACATTAACACTAAACAAGCAGCAGTAAGCAGACATCCTCTGCTGAATGTTCTCTGTCATAGAACTTTCCAAGTTAACATACACAATATGCTATTTCCACAAGACTAATTATAATAGGTCAAAGGAAAACATCCTCTGAGCAGCTGTAATCTCTAAGCAAATCTTTCTTACTCCTTGGAAGCAGAGACTGCCCATAGCATGTGTTACAGAGGATCTCAAACAACCAGCCACCAAAAACTAAAAATTCATTTCAACACAATTAACTAGTCCACCTCAACTACTCAGTTACAGATTCAAATGTCCATGACAGGAGAACAAAACTTCCTAGGGTTTAACAACAAGCCAAAATGCAGACCAAAACACCACTTTCCAGGGTTTAACCACACCCTAAAATGCTCCATCACTCACCTAACAAGTAAGGGCTCCCAACAATGAGGAACTTCTGACAGCAGCATCCCAACCCAAATAACCACAAGGAGTTTCCTTGGGCAGCAGGAAAAACCCTTACCTGCAGCATGCTACTCTAGAGAACAAACTCAAAATGGCATCCCCAAGGGATCCCATTGATACCCAGGCCCAATCTGACCTGTAGTAAACAGCAGCTTGAAGCCCTGGGAACAAAGGCAATCAACAGCTGCTACACTTCAGCAACCAAGAAACCCCATTTTTATTGGGTGGGTGAACCTCCTACAATGTGACAAACTGGAAGAACTATTAAAGGTTTCACTGCCATTTGTCACCAATACTTTAAACCTGACATCCAGCTTTGAAAAATATTAATAATTTACCTAACATTTTCTTGAAAATACTTTGCCAAAAATGAGAAACTTATTCACATCCTTTAAGAAATAGTAGATATTAAAATTCAGCAGAATTTTCCATTAGCACTCTTTTGCCCTAATATCAAAGGAATTGCTACAAGAACACTGTTATTGCTACAAGAATGCTGATCTAATAAAGAGTTTATGAACATGCACAACTTCAATGGGATTAATCACGTGCTTAAGATAAACATATCCTTAAGTACTGTTTACAGATGAGAGCACATTTGTTCAGATATCCTGTGTTTATTTAAATACAACACAACACAGCAGTATAAAGCAACAATATTCCAGTTGCTGATACTTTAAATAAAAGAAAAAAAAAAACTATTCCATGTGATCAAATTTATAAAGATAAATATTCAGAAGTTGCCCATAGCAGAATAAGCCTGACAAAGTGGAAGTAGGAGAAATAAAATGAGCAGAATAAAACTGAGACTTTCAAAGGAGTTACACATCTTCATTGTTGTATAGATGCAGTAGGCAAATGGGAGAATGAAGAACAGCCCACTGTAGATGAAGATCAGGTTCGAGACTGTCTAAGGAACCAAAGGTGCACAAGTCCATGGGACCTGATGAGATGCATCCACAGGTCCTGAGGGTACTGATGGATGAAGTGGCTAAGACACTATCCATCATAGCTGAGAAGTTGAGGCTGTACAGTGAAGTTCCCGCTGACTACAAAAGGGGAAACATAAACCTCATTTTTAAAAGGGAAAAAAGGAACACCTAGGGAACTACTGCCCAGTCAGTCTCTTCTCTGTGCTTGGCCAGATCATGGAGTAGATCTTCCTGGAAAAATATGCTATGGAAATTAAGGACGTGACTGGTGACATCCAGCATGGCTTCACTATGGGCAAATTGTGCCTGACAAATCTGGTGGCCTTCTATGATGGTGTTAGAGAGCTTGTAGGTAAGGGAAGAGCAACTTACATCATCTACTTGGACTTGTGAAAAACATTCACTGAATTCTCTAAACTGGAGAGACATGGGTTTTATTGGTGAACCTCTCAGTGGATAAGGAATTGGCTGAATGGTTGCACTCAAAGGGTTGCAGTCAACAGCTCAATGTCCAGATAGAGAGCAGTGACAATTAGCATTCCTCAGGGATCGGTATTAGGACAGGCACTGTTCAGCATCTCTGCTGGCAACTTGGACAGTGGGATTGAGTGCACTCTCACCGAGTTTGCCAACACTACCAAGCTGTGTAGTGCAGTCAATATGCTGCAGAGAAGGGATGTGCCATACAGAGGGACCTTGACAGGCTTGAGAGATGGGCCTGTGCAAACCTCATGAAGTTCAACAAGGCTAAGTGCAAGGTTCTGCACATGAATTGGGGCAGTCCCATGTATGAATATATGCTGGGTGATGAGTGGACTGAGAGCAGCCCTGTGAAGAAGAACTTGGGGGTACTAGTGGATGGAAAACATAAGTCAACAATGTGTGCTCACAGCCCAGAAAGCCAGTCAGAACCTGGGCTCCATCAAGAGAAGTGTGACCAGAAGGTCACGGGAGGTGATTCTCCCCCTCTACTCTGTTCTCATGAGACCTCACATGGAGTGCTGTATTTAGCTCTTGGGGTGTCCAGTATAAGAATGACATGGACCAGCTGAGTGGCTACAGAGGAGGCCACAAAGATGTTCACGGGGCTGAAGCACCTCCCCTATGAGGACAGGCTGGTAGAGTTGGGGTTGTTCAGCCTAGAAAAGAGAAAGCTCTGGGGACACCTTATAGCAGCCTTACAGTACTTAAAGGGGGCCTAAAGGAAAGATGGGGAGGGACTCTGCATCAAGGAATGTAGTAACAGGACAAGGGTTTTAAACTGAAAGAGGGTAGGTTTAGATTAGATAATAGGAAGAAATTCTTTTCTGTGAGGGTGCTGAGGCACTGGAACAGGTTGCCCAGACAGGATGTAGATGTCACCTCCCTGGCAGTGTTCAAGGCCAGGTTGGACGGGGCTTTTAAGCAACCTGGTCTAGTGGAAGGTGTCCCTGCCCATGTCAGGGGCATTGGAACTAGATGACATTTAAGGTCCCTTCCTACTCAAATGATTCTATATTGCCTCACATAAGACAATATCTCATACTGTTGGGAAAATTCACCAAGTCTTTCCCTCCATGAGTGTACAAATGGGAGAGAAATACAGCTGATCTCTGACTGCAAAACCAATAGAACTAATGAGGTGATAGAAAGCAGATGGGGTACAAAAAGAGAGTTGGTCTGCGGCAGCTTCATTCCCTATGAATGTCTGTGAGGGTTTGAATTACAGCTGTGGAAACAAGCTGCTGAGTTTCCTTCCCTAGCCCTCCCGGTAATTTTGTAATTTAAGTAAAAATGTTCTAGAAGTCAGGATAACAGCATATTGCTGAATGCCTTTTGAAAGCAGAGGATGTTAGTGGGAGAGAAACTGCAAATTAAAGCTATGTTGTTATGCAACTAAGGCGGCAAGGAAAAGAGCCAGGCAAACAATCCCCAGACTGTTTTTTCCTGAGCAGGAGATGATCCACCTTGTCTGGTCTGTATAGCAAAAGTGAGTCCATTGATTAAACATTTTTAACATTGTGGATTAGAATAGATTAAGGACTCCCTGTTGTAATGCTCTGTCTGAATGAGAACAAAATGTTTGCTATCAAAGGGAAGATTAAAAAGTATTTACTGTTTAATAACAGTTATTCTGGAAGAAAACTGAAACAGTTCAGTGTGTTCTTGGTGCATTAACAGTTGTCTCCTGGACAGGTTTCCTTGGACCCCAGACTAAGAACAGATTATTCATTCTCTTTAAGAAAAAAATAATATAGCACATCATTAAACTGCTATGGTGACAGAAAGCAGTGAAAATTAAAGGGTTAACCTCTTCTTCTCGAAGCAATATAAAAAGTTACAGTGCTATGCTCTGTGCTACTCTAATGGAGAATGGAAAAGTACTTTGCTGTTGTGAAATAAAAGTCTTTTTAACTGTATGCTTGACCCTGTAATTAAACATGCCTGAAAGGTCTTCTGGGTCTGCCTGAAGCCTACTGCAGAATTGGATGCATCTTTATTCCTCATAGTCCATTGTTTTAATGTGCCTTTCATTCTTTTTATTCCTAAGGGACACTGTTTTGCACCAGGAGGTGCTAGTCCACTATTATCTCAATAAGAAAGGCACTCAGACTCTGTAAAGTATCATTTAAAATTATTTTTATTACAGCTAACTATAACGAAAGAGAATATAGTATAGATAATCTTATGCTCCTTTAGATGCTGGGAACCCTGAGTTGTGCAGGATTGAACTGGCCCCAATGTGCATGTAGCATGTCGTGCAGACCCCATCTGTGGCAGATTTGTCCCATTTAGGTCATTCAAGCTATTATAGGCTTTTCTTACAGGAATACAAATGTACGCATCATTTCCACTTTCAGAGAAGATGTCTGCTGGAGAACTTGTTGCTGCATTTTTAGAGAAAGGCAATACCATGCTGGTACCAAGTGGAGCTGCCTCACAGGCTTATTCATTGCCATCACCTGTCTGAGTTTATCCAGGGCCAAGGAAAACACACAGCATGGCACAGGCCTGAAGACAACACTGTACATGCAGCACAGCCCAGCACAGACCTGCGCCTACACAAGTTCACTGGTATGTAAATCACTGACTCCTCCATGTGCAATGGTCTTCCCCTCAGTATCACTGCACACACCTGATGCTCACCTATCCTGTAGGAGCCAAATAGAGAAGAGGCCTCCAGAGCCTTTAGGGTACAGAGAGAGAGAGAAAGATGATTTGGCTTTCAGGGAGACATCATGTTAGGCAGATGTGTCAGGTGTATGAGATATCCTTCCGGAGGTTTTCAACATTATCTACCTCTCTGCATTAATATTCAACATAGGCATTTATTTTAGGACAAGTGCTTTGTTTAGTGCTAAAATGTAACCACAAGTTTGTAATCCAAGTTAGACAGAATATATCCTACTATCTTTTCTTACCATCTGCAAATTCACATTGTCTTAGATTGCCTCAACTTTTCCCATGGCCACATCTTGAAAACCTCTTATCTTCAATCCTTAAGTGAGAAGAATTTTTCTTAAGGCATTTCTCCTCATCCATGTATAGAAAGCTCCCACATGACTTCAACAACACTCCTGGCTCTGGTCCTCAGTCCTACAGGGTGGGATGGGAAAGGTGGAGCCGGAAGTAGTGCTGAAGTTCAGATGTAACTACCTCATGAATTATGAATGGAGAGGAGATGCAGTAGGGTCAGGAAGACATTTACAAAACCTGTAAGGCTTCCTTTGGAGTTTCTGTCCCCTTTCCCTTTTGATGGTGAATGCATGACCTAAAGAAACTTAAATTTTTCCTCTCTGCTTTTGGTAACAGTTCATTTCAATCAATTGAGGGAAAACTCTGAGGACTTTTTGGTCACACTTCTTAGCCAAAACATATAACAACAATTTCATTTCTGGGTACATCTGTTTTAGAGCACCTATCTCCTCAACCCACTAAGAGGCATGTAACAGACAACACAGGACCAATTTATTCTAGCTTTTTAAGGAAGAAGTTTATTTCTCTATAGTTTATCATAATCTGTTGCCTGAATGCTGGTGAGTGACCAGCATTCTGTTCTGTTCTGACATATGGCAGTCTTTTATGCTGTTGTATTTGAACATAATCAAAAGAGGAGAGCAAGAAGGAAACTCCTAAAGGAGTTTCCTAAAGGGGTGTTTGGTTCTCCTTTTGAAAATGTTCTCTGGCAGCAGTGCACGAAAAGCCTGTGCCTGTGCCTGGATCACCACCTGCAGTCTCTGACTCATACATCATATCTGAAAAAGTCAAAGGGAGGTCAGGAGAGAGTAAGAGTCAAGCTACATCAGAGCCAGTTGCAGAAAGACCTCCCATACTCTACTGCAAGCAAATACCTAAAACGGTCAAAAATGCCTAAACTGGGCAATGAAAAGACCCCATAAACTGTACAACAACCAGAGAAATGTTGTGTTGGCTGGCTCCCTGGAGTGTCTGGGAAAACTGTACCTCTAAGTGTGTCCTGCTAAAGCCAGCTGACCAGCACCAGTGTGGGACTTGGATGTTCCTGTGTTCTGGGTTCAGAGATACAGTCAAAGGCAGACCTGAGTGCAGCCAGGCTCTGCCAGGCTCTGTGGGATTTACAAACGGCCTATGGCTCTGGAGATAAAACTAAAAGAATAAATTCTCTCAACAGAAATGAATTCTGCATAAATGTCTCACTGCCTAGCCTGGACAGTTGCTAGCTATGCAAATAATAATCGGGAAAGGAAACCCTCCATCTGTAAACTAGGCAGCAAATGAGAAATGCCAAACTAAGGGAGACACCCAGTCTTCCCTGAATCTTATGGAAACTGTTTTATGATGGACTACTGGGTACATGCCAAATAATCCAGCATATTAAAAGGAAAGAGATTTGAGACAGAAAAGTACACAGCCTCAAAATCAAAGTCCAGAAAAAACAGCAGAGAATTACTTGCTGTGGCAAATAGTACAAAGCAATCTCTAAAAAACAGGAATCACAACAGATTACAGTGCTTGCAAAAATTTTGCTGGTGCCATCATTATAGCAGTAGCATGGACAAAGAAGATGACAGCAGAAGCACAAGAAAAGGGTGGATAATATTTCCTAGTGCCAAAAAAATCACAGCTGAGGAGGAAGAACCAATATAACCCCTATTTTAACCTGCGCGCGCATGCATATATATGTGTATATATATATATGTCAATGAAGCAAGAGAAACAGGAAAATAAGTAGAGAAAGGCAGAACAAAAGCAGAAGAAGGTAGAGAAGTAAATCCTGGACTTAAAGTATGCGTCTTGCCTCATTAAAGGAATATGGGAATTATATGAAGGAGCAAATAGCAAATTACAATAAATACAACGTGTAATAGTATCACTAAACTTCTGAAAACATGTTTTGCTTTTATTATCTAGAGGCAGTACTAGGGATGGAGCGAACATATTCAAGCAAGAGCTTGACAGCTCTTCAAGATACGTAAGCTCTGAACGGAATACAACATAGAATAACCCAGTAGTCCCAGGTAATGACAAGGGCAAGCACTAAAAGATAAATAAGCTTATTTCTCCAGAAATCATGGCCAACCAAAAGAGCCCATAGGGTTTGTATTCTTCCATGATCACTGTAGAAAATAAATATATAAAAACTATCATATAGCATAGACTAAAGGCTTAAAAATATATAAAACGACAGTGCTTTCCACTGAAGCCACAAATGTTTTGATATTTGAATTTTAATATTGTTGCTGAGGGGACATTTTTCTATGCTTGATAAATTGAGAAGGTACTAGAAGGTATCCATACAAAACAGTGATCTTTTTGTGCAGTCGAAATACACATTAAGATATACCCTTTCTTTAGACTGTATCTGAATAATTTAAAAGTTTCTCTGGAAGATATGATGAATCTTCTAGAGTACACAGTAAAGAATACATAAACTACAGGAGGAGTATATAAAAGTATGACTAAGAGTCTCTGTGCTGCTTTCAGAGGACACATGCTACTTTGATCTCATGTGATT